CTAACCAAAGAGGTATTCCATGCCCTATAGCATCATGCACAGCAATAAAAAGGGAAAAGAGAGGGTTCTACAAAGTTAGCCGTCTTTTGCTCAGGAACTGGCTGGGCATTGGTGTACCTGTGGGAGATGGTGAGTTATTTCCTTTGCATGCTTGTTTTGTTTTCTTTCTCTCTTTCTCTTTTCCTTCGCTTATTAAACAATTTTTGCTGTGATCCACAAGTTCTATTAGTTTTATCATTCCTTTCTTCTTCCCCTGTCCCACTGGGGCGAGGGGGTGGGTAGTAAGCAAGCAGCTGTATGGTGCTTAGCTGCCTAATGGGATTAATCCACAATGGTCTGATATTCCATTAATTTAAATTAGTTTACAAGTTATGGACACCAAACTGACTTCTGTGATGCAAAAGAACTTTGGGCTTTTAACATTTCTGGAAATTGTAAGAAGCCCTGTCACAATGACATGATGTGTCTAGTTTGTATGTAATATATTAATAATATTCCACAGTTGCACTGACCAGTATGGTTCATAGGCAAGTGCATGATGCTTTCTTGAGATGCAGAAAGGGGAGACCTTGGAGTTGATGGTGCACGTTGAGTTGAGTATCATGGAGATAGAAGGCAAGAACTGCCTTTTCAAAGCAGAATAGAGCTGACTGAGAAACTGTTAATAAGTTATTAAGTAACTGAAACTTTCAAAACTCTCATGTGCTGATCTGTCAAAAATCTGAACTTTGTCTCAATAGATCAGTATACTCTTAAAATGGAGTAGTTTTATCAGGAACAAAGCAGTTACTTTAGAATTGACTGTTGCAGTCCCACACATCAGTAAATATGTAAGCAAAATAAAGCATCAAAGTAAATTATTTCAAGCAAATAAAGTATCATGAGAACTGTTATTGTAATACTTTCAGACTAAGCAACAAAACTTGCATGTTTATAAACATGCCAGCTACATGAGTCCTTAAATAGTCCTGAGTTACTCATTTACAGTGTGTCATTTTATGATTATTTACTGTAATTAGAAAGAATCCTGACATACTAGCTTTCTCCACATGGTAAAATCTGATAAGGGCTTTCAGTGTTAGTCTGTTTTTGTTACTGTGTACATGTAGGAAAAAAGCCTAAAGATTTGAACTTGAAAACTTGTTGTCACAGCAGGGCTGTCCACAGTGAACTACAAGTTTGCATTCCTACCACATGCAGTAAGGTTTTCTCTATAGACTCCTGTCACTGAGGAATTTAGCAAGGAACAAGAAATCTTCAGTAGGAGAAGGGCCACAAGTGTGTGAAAAGCTAGCCACACATAAACACTGAAGGTCATTAGCAGGCTCCTAGACTCCTATCTAGGAATTAGTTTTTTAGATCATTAACGGTAAAAAAGCCTAGGAAATGAATAGGACTCTGTCCTATTAAAAATTAGCCAGAACAATTAAAAGGTTTTCCAGTTTTTAATGGGAACCAGACCTGATGCCTCATTTTCCTTGTCTGGTGGGCTGTTTCTGCATTTTGAATGACATTAATTTTATGTCCTTGTATTTGTAAAGAAATATCTTGAACTACTTTTTTTGTACAGGAGTTGTAAACTTAACAATGAGGGCAGTGAAATCTTGGGAGATGTAGAATCTAGTGTCTCCCTAAGATTGTGTTACTGAATCCAAGTCTTGTGACTCTGAACTATTACAGTTAATTGTGATAGGATTGCTTCTGGTGTATGCAAATGTATATTTTGCAAACTTCTAATACAATTGCTGTATTATGCAACTCCATAAGTTAAAATGCTCATTTGGCTGCAAATGCACAGCCTTTTTTGCTGTGAGGTGTCTCTCCTTATGGTGTTACGTATTTCCTTAAACTCAGTTTTCTAATTTCAACAGCAGCCTTTCTGCTTTCATTTCAATGTAAATTCCTTGCTGCTGAGTGGATGACTGATAGTTATTTAAGAGCTATCTTCTCCTCCACTGTATATTTTTCCTTAAGCCTGTAGTCATCTCTTCACTTTGGCACAAGAAAATAATGAACAGTGCACCTTTAGTATTTTAAAATGTAATTTTTGGAGAGGTTTATTAAATACTTTCTTTCCTTATCTTTGCATCTTAGCATGCATGCCTTACAAAAAAATCCAGAGAGAGGAAGAGAGAGAAAGAAGAGACAGAGAAAGAGAGAAAGAAAGAAAGAAAGAAAGAGAAAAAAACCCCTGTAATGTGTGATTTGCCTGCCGGCCTGCCACTCTGGAGGAAAACAAGCCCACAAGTTCCCAAACTTTTTTACTCTATAGCTGTTATACTCATTTCCGTCCCCATATGCCTTAGGCTCCAAATCTTCCCACTTAACCCTCTGGTAATAATCAAGGTAATCTATGAATACAAGCCATATGATTTTCCTCAAAGGATAAAAAAGAAAAAATAAATTTGGATGAGGAAAAGTGAACTGCAGATAAATGGGGTGGAGATGGGGAGAATAAAAGGACAGGAGAAAGGCAGGACAAAATGATCTTCCTCACAATCTTAATTTTGTACTTGGTCATTCATTTACTCTAGATGCAGAATTCCTTTCTGCAGTGAGTGAATTGCCCTGTCATTAACATAAAATTAGCTCCAAATGGTCTTGGCCAAGAGCTTTGAAATATGTTAGTATAGAACCACACACTCAAAAACATGTGGGAATCCATGTGGGCTTCCAGATGTGAGAATCTTCTGTGTTACAAATGTAGTTATGTTTATGTAGCCTAATAATCTGCTCAGTGGATATACTGTAGATGCAGCTGTGCTTCAGTTGTGGTCTGTTATGTGACGCTCTGCCTTAGCGAATGCATCTTGTTTCTTAGAGCGAGTCCATTCTAATAATGGCTACTTGTAAACAAACACTGGCATGCAAGTTAAAATACTCTGTCATGAAATGTAAGGAATTCAGCATGAGCTAGTAGATTGAACTGAGAGTGGAAATTTGGAAAATTTCATGTTTCATTTTTGATTCCTCATAGTATTTTGCTGATAATTGTTTTTCCCTGTCTGATTTATGTTTTATCAGTGAATACTTTCTGCACTAGGATTAAAATTTGAAAGCCTGAGAAAAGTTTGAAGAAGTCATAATGTTTTCTGTGTTATCTAAATAAGCATTTAAGGTAGTGATTTGATTTCAGTTATATTATCAAAAATACAAGACTATCTGAATCTCAGTATAATTACCTGATTTTGTTTTTATCTAACTAATGATCTCTACCCACAGAGATAGTCTGTTGATGCTCTTTTTTCTTTTTTCTTTTTTTTTTTTTTTTTATGTTTAAGAGCCTGTATTATCTTGATTTCTTTAATGCAGTTGTCTTCTGTTGTATGTAGTGTAAGAAGGGAACTGGGAGTATCTTTGGGAAGAAAATTGATCTGTACAGGAAGACTAGTGGGTTGAATAGATCTATAAAGCTGAGCTTAAGCACATCAATTAGTGCCTGAACTCTACAGTATTCAGTCTGTAGCAGTGACTATTAGCTGTTCTTAATCTTTGAATGTGTAAGTACAGAATGGTGACTGATGGTAACCTGAAATGTCATTCTTGTTCACTTTGTAGTGCCACCAAGTAATTTTTAATAGGCACAAATTTTTCAAAGAAATTCTATTCCTTTGCTGACTGAAAACTGTCTTTATTCATGAACATGAATATTCAGTTTCAGGTGCAATCCATACACCTTGTGCTACTTTGGCTGTGATCTCCTTATGTCGTATACATCAAACAGGATCATATCACTCCTGTAGTTGGATCAGAGACCTTCAGGGGGAAAAAAAAATCAACTCTACATCTGATATTGATCTCTCCTCTGAAGTGACAGTAGCTCCATCCTCTAGCACAATGGAAAGTAAATTCTCTGTAATAGTCATCACACAATGAATAAAATTGTTGTTTGACATAAATCACAGTAGCCTAAGAGTTCATTAGACTGTCAGCTGATCCTTTGTCTCTTGGGGGTTGGGTAGAACTGAGGCTTTTATTGTAGAAAGCATCTTTTTCCATTAAATTTTGCATATTGTTTCTAACATTTTAATATATATTATTATATCTCCTATATATCCTATTTCATGGGCAAGCGTATTATGCATATCTAAAATAGGTCTTGTACTTACCATTATAATATTTAAAGTGTCAGGGAGTATTGTGCTTCTCTGTGTTCAGGAGCATTAAGGATTGTAAAAGCTGGAAGTAAATTCCCATTGCAAACTTCTTTGAGCAAAATATCCTTTGCTATTCATCACCATAACCAGCTAATATCAGTTGTTATCTTTAGTAGCAAATTTTAAGAAATGTCCAGGAAAGGAGACCTGTATGATACAAAATGAGAGGAGTGTGACACTCTCTGAATAAGAAAATGACTGAAAAGATACATCTGTGAGCTGTGCAAGCAGTAACAGCTTGAAGGAAGCACTAAAACTGTCCTACAGAAGACAGAAGAAGAATTTCTTCTGTCTCATGCCATGGGTCATGCTTGACATGGTTTAGAGAGGCTGTGTGGCATTTCCCCGGTGAGAAGCTGTGAATACTTCAGTCAGTATGTGACACTGTTTGTGGGCTGGTGCTGCCCAAAACTGTTTCTGACCCCAGTTGCATTGTCCCAGCAGCCTTTTAGCAATGCGCTATTTTTCTTTCAGTAACTAAAATCCTAAAGTGTGTGTGTCTATGATACATAACAAACCAAGATATATGAAAAAGTACATGCTCTGGTAATTAAAAAGCGGTCAGATCTAGCGCAAGACTATGCAAAGTCAAAGGCCTCAGTGCCTTGCAGACATCAGACTTCTGTCCTAACTTTCAGCACAGAATCTATCTAGAACCTGGTGAGGATATTACATAAATGATGTGATTATGTAAATGTATATTTAAATTAAGTTTTAATTGAAAAACATTTATACCGATATAAGGGTTCTGCCAGTGCTTTTGTATCTCTCGAACTGTTTTATGGCGCTGCTTTTAATTAATTATATTTTGACAGAAGAAATTCTCTCTTTTTTTTTTTTCAGACTGAAGAACAAATGAGCCTCTCTGAAGAGCAGCTTAAGACCTTTCTGGAAGAATGTATGCAGCCTGAGAGAACAATAAGTAACGTTACCATGCCAAAGTCTCAGGAATCTCTTTCTTTTGGATTAAGTCCCCCTTCTTACACAAGTCAAGACTCCACTCTTCACTCCACATCTACTCTTTCCAAAATGTTAGTTGAAGACCATATTGTAGGGATGTTAATGGCTCAGGAAAAGGCTGGACTCGAAGACAAAAGCTTATGTGCAGAGAGCGAAATCCCTGGCTACTATATCAGCAAAGCATTGGCTGTTAGTCACTTATCAAAGGATTCACTGGCCCAAACAGAGGAACTTGATGACCTAGAAGGTTTACAGAAGATGGGAGATGAGAGTATTACTGAAGGTTACTTTATGTCAAGAGCACTCAACAGAAAAAGATTGAAGAAACCTTCTTTCTTGGGTGAACCATTATATTGCATCAGCATGAACAATGAGCCATGCACAGAGGCTGACATTCTCAGCATACCACTGCAAACCAAAGGAGGTGAGACTCTTAACAACCCTTTAGAATAGGCTTTTGATTATAAAGAAAAAAACCTAAGCAGGTTCTCACCAAAGATATGCACCAATACACACTGATTATTGTGGTGGGCCAAGGATGTTCTTTTATAAAACTGTGCCAAAAATAATACACACAAAGTAACAGAATGTTTATTAAAATTCTTGCTCTGACATAATTGAGTTTTATGAAATACATCACTGATGTTGATTAATTCTGTCAACTGGAAAACAGTGTTGACAACGCATATGGATTACCTTTTTGGTAGTAGAAAGTCATGTTCCCTGTTCTGTGGAGAGTAAATATTCTCCCAGTAGTTGGTACAATAATTCACTGAAAAATCCAAGTGTTTTGTGCATGTTTTTAATAAGGTGAACTCAGTAGTATAGAAACAAATATGACCTAGCTTTATTAAAAATACTAAACTGCTTTCAGGGAGTTCAAATTTACACATAGAAGATGTCAAAAATCATAAATACTGCACAATTTCTATAAATTACTTTTAGTTTGGTAAAAGAAAGAAAGAAAGAATAGACTTTAACCAGCAAAAAATGAAAACCTCTACTTGGTGTTACAAAAGGATTGTGGAAATGTCTGTGGTTTTTATGTCCTTTACTTATATGCAATTATATAGTGATATTGTAACTTAAATCTACATTTAGATTTTTAGCCTAAGACTACTTCTCTTCCTGGAAAGCCAGCTGTTCAAATAAGCCAGATTTTAGGCAGGTAAAATCTTTAACTTCTTTCATAAAAGTTGTGACAGTATGAAGTTTGTGATTAGAGTGCTACAGTTTAATTTTATTAGAAATCAATACATTTTGCTTTCTTTGTCAAGATTGATCTTTGTTATACTAGTAATATATTCTGAATTTAGAGAAACTTTTTTTCACATACCTTGATAATTTAGAATAATGTCCTAATATCGCTTTGCTATTTTATAATTTCTTAATTATGATCACATCTGTTTCCTTGGTTGTCTGTACTTAACCTTTCTACAGTGAAGAGAATGTTAATATTTTTCAAAGGGATTCCACCTGTCAGAAAGCAGGAAGGCTTGTTATTTCTGCTTTTACACTGCTAAAAAACTTGATATCCAGACTCACCTGCCATATTTACCCCTTATGAGATTTAGGTCATAGCTGCTGCAACACGAAGAAAATAGTACCTATAGAAAAGGTTGGGTGATTTTGGGTTTTTTTTGGTTGGTTAGTTTTCAGCTACCTTCACATGCCAGCTGTGCTCTTCATGTAGATGCAAGCATCAGAAGAACAGAGCAAGGGAGGAAGGAAGCGGTCTGCCTCAGAGGAGAGCGGGGTGGCAGTGGTGGTCATGGGGAACCCCACAGAGGACCACCTCTGCCAGCAGCAGTTGGTCTCACGCAGGAGTAACATGGTTACATTCTACACCACCAGTCTTCCTTGGCAACCAACAGTGAGAAAAACTCAGTACCTTGCTGCCTTCACAGCTTTAGATCTTTAGTTAGAACTTTAGTTAGATCTTTAGTTCTCCTTTAGTCCGAACTGATGTAGTACAGTTAGAACCAAGTGTAACACAGACACAGTTACCACCTCTCATGAGTGTGTTTTAAGATGGCAAAACACCATGCATTGTGAAGTGAGCAGGTAACAGTATACGTAGTCCCTATGAGGTAGTTATATTGCACAAGAGAGGAAGATTTTCACTATTAAGTAAATTTTCATATAGGACATCTCATAGTAAAAGTCTATAAGGTGAATTTATTAATATTTATCATGTAATAATTTAATTATATTTGAGTCAAAATCATGTGTACCAGAGTAATGCGAGGGATATTTTGATTGTCTGTTTTCAGTAGTGACTGAGTAATGTTCGACTGTGTAGAACTCAGTTCTGTATGGTTAATAAACATCTTGGGTTTATGATTGTTTTGCTTACCAATTTTTTTTTTTTTGAGGGGGGGAGTATTCTGAATTTTTAGTCTCTGATTTATTTTAATTTTTTTTGATAAAAAAGTAAAAACAAACCACGGAGATAATTACAGATATTGTAATTTCATCAGGCTTTGAATTTTTGTCTTAGTGTCTAATTTTTTAAAGTGGTGTGAACAGGTAACTTTTAGGCACAATAAAAGTAAGCGCAAAAATAAAACCCCCTTCAGAGGTTTGTAACTGCTAAATATTTTACAGATATCCATGTTTAAGTTTAAATTAATTATATTCAGATGTATCGTATTCTGTTAGTATTAATGTTATGATTAAACAAACATCCAAAATTAGCATTTAAATAGGCAGCAGTCCATTCTTATTATTTTTGTTAATGTACTGTTTACAAGTAAATGTATAGCATAAAACAGAAAACCCTGATATCTTTCCATGGAATTAATTTGTTTCCCACAAAGGTGATTCAGTTCTGTCTGAAGCAATTATTCCTGGCCATAAGCAAAAGGGTGTGATGTTTATCAAATCTGTAAAGTTGCTTAATGTATTCTATAGATAATCTAGTTGTTAGTTCAGACATGATTAGATATGCTAATTGTATTGAGGAATGAAGATCCCAGTGGAATCCAGTTTAAGGCAAATACATCTGCAGATGAAGGTGTGAGAAGTGTCAGGTGTTATTTTTATTTTTATTTTTAAGAGATATTTACATAGTTGAGCTTTGTTATGGTCAATTCTAAAGGACATTTAAATGCGTATGCATAATCTTTTGTAAGTAGTTTGATTTTCTTGCCGACTTACACATGGTTTAAATTCTCTTTAGTGCTGGGTAAGCAAAAAAACCTGTGTTTGTGTGAAGCTGGTTTAGCACAATTTTGGTTTTGCAGTCCTTATGGTACTGTAGTCTGTGATATCAATTTACTGTAATACATTAAATGATATTTTAAGAAAAGCATAATTATGAACATAATGCATATGTATATACTTGTGTATATATATATCTGAAGGAAACTCTCATGTGCCTTCAGAGATAAGTAATTCCTGTTTCTTGAAAGAAGCAGTAATCTACATCTGGCTCATATGCATGTAAACATAGATGATGTTTAATGAGGGAAACAGAATCCAGACTTACCCATATACAGATATAAAAAGGCTAGTATTTCTCAGTTGTATGAGCCAATTAGTAATTATTTCCAGCTCTGTTTTGGGGGGCTATATTAAGTTTTAAGTAGAAGTTGTATCACAAACTGTTTTTACTTTTTCATATTGCAAATAATGTTGTGCTTACAGTGGTTCAGCATATTTTTTTTCTTTATTTTTTCAGATGGTATGAACATTGAAATTTGAGGGGAGAGTGTGTGCTTCTTTGCACAACTGTTTTTCTGAAAGTGTGGTTAAACCTCCCTCAGTGATATTATTCTGATTCAGTATGATTTCGAGCAACCTGAAGGGAATGAATTATCATAATTGAAAATGTTCCATGAGTTGACTTATTCTTAAGAGATAATTATTATTGTCATTATCATATATTGTTGCAGTTTGATTTCAAAATAAACTCTTGCATTTCATTAAATTAAATACCTAAGAAATAAATGTACGCACACATTTGTGTACCTGTGTGTCTGATAGATATGCATGTCTTTGTGAAAAATGTAAAATAAAACTTGGAAAGTTCAGTATCTACTGATGGAGCTTTATTAGAGCAGATGTGAAATGTATATAATGATTTCATTTTTCTTCACACACACAGTCTAGATTTTTCATAAATTTAGCTAAAACCTGGCCTCTGGTTACCCCACTGCAGTTTCCTGGAGCTTGCAGCCTGTCTGATTAAGAGCCCTGACTCAGGGAAGGACCCAGCTGTGTGCTAAGTTTTTTGCCTTGGGGCTGTCTGTTGGCTGGACAGCTGGTTTGGTTGAAGGTTTGACTTGCACAAGTCCTCTGCTGGATTAGAACATCAGCACTTGCCTGCTCAGGTCTGCCTGAATCTTGCCTGCGAAGAGTGTAACCACAGAGCCAACAGTGGTATCCTCTAGTTAAGAAATGTAACTAAAATTGGGGAAATTGCAGTCCCTGGTGAAGGCTTGGCATGAGAGAAAGTGAAGGAGTTCAGAAGTTTGCCCTAGCAGTTACTGGATTGTGAAACATTATAGTAATGGCTACCTGAGGAGAGGGTAATGCAGCTGGCTTGTGTTTGAGATAATAGTAACAATTCATTACAGGTTTTTGATTGACTAGTCTTTACTGGTTTTCCTGATTTTCTCTTTATTTACTCAACTGATGGTCAGTTTTTCATTTCATGCACTGCAGTGTCAGAATAAGAGGACATTATTAAAAAAACATGGTTCTTTTTAAGAAGTTCTTTTGTTAAGGTGGAGAGATATTCTAGCAAAGAAGATTCAATAGATTTTTTCCCATTGACAAACTCTCATGTGATTTGACCTAAAAGGACAAATTATTTCTCAGATCCTATAGTAGCCATTTAACATTCACCAAGAAAAGATGTACAGATAGAATGTTAAATCTACAATGGCTGTTACCACATAGGGCTTACTTGATCTAATCTGAGTGTTTAAATTAATGCACATATCGGCCCAGATTTTAATCTAATTTACAGAGTTGCCATTAGGAGTGGATGCACTCCTGGGGAAGTGGTAATCATGTGGATATAGCAGAGATCAGAATCTAACCTACTTGCTTTTCATTAAAATCAGAATGGGACGTTATATTTGTAACAAGCAAGTACTATTTCTTCTTTTATTTTCTGATATTTTTACTTACTCCGCAACAGCAATAACAAACCTGTTGATACTGGATGTTCTGCATAAGATTGCTGTAAGCACATTTCATGGAGCTTTGTAAATCTCACTTAGATGTATTTCTCATCTTAAAGATGTTAAGCCTGTGTCATAATTTCAATAGCATAAATATGATCAAAGCAATACCAATAAGATTTTTCAAGACTATTTTCTGTGACCGTATGATATTCATGCATTACTGTTCACTGGCTGTAATCTTTCCACAATCCAGTTATTTTCACATTGAACTTGTGTTTTATAGAGACCTTCTCAAAAACAAGTGTTCCAAGTACTTGGGTAGTTTTTTCAAAAAATCAAGTTCTGTTTAGAGATTATATATAGTAAATAATTTTTCATTTTCTTGGTTTATTATGTTATCTTAACTCTCTTGTTGTTATGAAAAAGCTTTTCCTCAAGGAAGGGTCTCTGTTGCTGATTAAGCTTTGCAACATCCCTGAGGCCATGAATGCACTTTTTATTCACGTCTGGCATTTCAGGGATAGGGAGGTAGGTTTGAATGACTGTTGACTTGAAGTGTATATTCCAACAGGAGCTCTGTGACTTAACTTTTAGTCTTGGGAAATGCTGAGCACCCTGCACCAGTTGTAGTCACTGCAAACCACAGGGATGTAGCACTTGTGGCCTGGTATTCCAAAGGTGCGTTTGGTCAGTACCCAAACTCAGAGACTGTCAAAAACTAGTGACCTGCTATTTATCTGTGCTTTCTTTCTACTGCATTATATTAAATAACAGGTTCTTTGGGAATAGTTTCTTTCTTTCTTGATATTGCAAGTGAAATATCAATTCCAAACCTCCTTTTTTTTTTTTTTAAACTTCCAGTTGTAAGTAAAACTGTAGGAAATAAAATTATTTGGTAAAATATGGTTACTGGTAAGATGTACACAATAACAGAGATATTATAGAAAATATGTGACAAGGTCATTTGCTGAAACATCAGCAATACTAGGGTAAAAGGAAAGTTGAGCCCAGGAGGATTCATGGGTTTTTCTTTGTTTTTCCAGTTACTCTGTGTTGTGACCTGCAATAACCCCTCTGTCGGGGCTCACCACTTGAATTCCAGCTGCACTGGAATGTGGCAGCTTCTCCTCAGGGAGTGATGCTGCAGTGATGATTAGGATATTTAAATGAATTTTCTTTTGCAGCCTAACTCAGGATTTGGAAACAGGTTTTCTGAAATACATACCTTCATCTAGCATAAGTTGTATTTGGCAAAAGATTCTATTTACTAGCTTCTTAACCGTCTTTCCTAGCTCCTTCCATCCCAAAACACAGCAGAGCATAGGAGACTGATTTTTAAAGTTAACCTTCTGACATTTGGGCTTTGAGATGTTTGAGGAATAAGAAATTTTGTGTGTGCATGTAGGTTTATGCTGTTTGTTCTCCTTATTTCATACTATGATTTTACAGGACAAGATAGATGCTTTTGTTCCAAAAATGTAATATTGGTGAAATCAACATACCCGTGAAGAGAGGATTTTGGTGTGCTTGTATCTAATTCTGAGCAATATATGACCAAACCTTTCTGTCTTTGTCACTGAGACCCTTCAGTAATATACATACAGTGCTGCCATCTGTAGTGACCAGTGCTCAGCTGTTGATACTGATTTCCTCAAATGGTTATGTTTCAATGCTGCACTGTTTGCCCTTTTAAATTACAAACCCCACATTGTTTTCCTCTGAAAGTGGAAAATAAGGATGATTCAATCATTTTCGTGAACCATATGTGTGTATATATATTATATATAAATTATGTGTATTAATTGAAGATATAATTTACAAAATATACTATAAATTTGAGTAGGATAATTTAAAGAACTACAGCATTGATTTCAGTTTACTGTAGTGGTATGAGAAGTTCAGTCCAGCCTGACGGTTATTCAGATTTAGAGTGATTGCAGGGATTTTTATTTCAAAGAGCACTGAATAAACTAAATATCCTGATTAAAAAAAAGTAAAATTTTTTTGCATCTAGACAACAATAAAATGAATGAAGTTATTCTTACATGCCCAGAATTCAAGTTTAAATAAAGTTATTCTACCAAGGGGTAAAACACCTTTCAGTTTCATCTTAAAAAAAAAAAAAAAAAAAAAAAATGAAGAAAACGCCCTACAAAAATTCTCAGCCTTATGCCTTTTTCCAAGCCAGACATTTGTTGGTATCTACTTTGTGGATCTGTAGTGCATGCTTTCCCTCTCACTTCCCGAGCAGAACTCCTGCAGAGTCAGTGGGCATGCTGAGCGCAGAGTGAAAACAGGCTGTGCAAAAATTATCTGCTGCATAGATAAGAGGAAAGGGCTGCTTAAACATGTCATCAGAGTAGCAAGGACTAGTCCAGAAATGCAAAAAAATATGCCAGTAAATTCATGTGCTGGAAAGGGTGCATTTTTACTTCCAGATCAGGGAGTGATAGGTGAGAGGCAGTTGTTTGTGTCTCAGTTTCTGTAATTTCAATAATTATAAGAACTTTTATATTTTATTAAAACCTCTTATTTGCTAGATAAAATTTCAGCAAATGAAATGAGAATGCACCTTTTTGTTATGCTTCTGAAAAAGGCTTTCTAAGCACAGCTTTGAATAATACCTCTCTCTCTTGCTTTTTATATGCAAAATCTGCCACAGTTGACACCTCCAAGAGCTGACATTTCCTCCCCCACTTATGAATAGAGAGCCTCACCTCTGGTAATCTCATGCAGTTTGAAGGGTAGACGCAGAAGACAAGGTGGTTTGGCAGATCCTCAGGAAGCTGATAAATTAGGAGGGTTTATGAAATCTGGGGAAAAATAACTGATCTTTTTCTTTATTTTTCAACACATGCATTTACTGAGAAATAATTGTTCCTTTATTTGTAGGGACATTTAAAGGTCAGAAAAATAGTTTCCTTTTTAGATAGAATAGAGGCACTTGAATACTACTAATGCCATAACCTACATTTATCCAATTATACGTTTGGTTGAGGGATTGGCTGGAATCCAGATGCAGTAGTTAGAATAAAAGGCTCCCTGTCATTTAAGTCTATGTGAAATAGTTCGCTGCTTGCAATTGAATCTGCAGAACCTTATCTGTTAAGCTTAAAAAGCCCCCAGTAAACTGGAACACTCTCGAGTGTTTAGTAACTTCTAGAGTGCTAAAGTGCATGAATAATTTTGCTTTGTAGGCAAGTATTCTGCATTTAGAACTTTTGAAAATACTGATCTGTGCCATTGTTTTCTTATTGTTTGCTTTGTGTATTTGGTGTGCATAGTTTTGGTGGGAAGAGTATTGCCAGAGGCCTTTCACCCTAATTTTCCAATAACACTGAAATGGTCTCTCCATATGCATTTTGTGAGCAGAGTCATCAAGGGAGACTGACACAGTATTTAAGCAGCACTCGATTTAGCCCTTGTACATGTTGCCTGGGGTAGCAGTTCTTGATTTTGAAAGCAGTTGAAAAATTAAAGACAAATGATGTCTGGGCTTCCTGGGATTTGTTTAAATTTGAAAATCTAAGTTTCTCTATGATACTTGTCTAATTTTATGGATTTCTTGTGGAAGATTTTATCTTCAAGACTTCTGCTTGCCAAACACTTTTCTCTAATGAGTTCTCTTCCTCTTTTTATAACTCTGCTTAAATATTTATACAACTTTGTGCATTTGTTTTTTCTGTCTTGGAAAAGATGAGAAATAAGAACTAGAACTCACTTTGTGGATACCTTAAGATGCTCACTTCGGTAATCTCAGCAATCCTTTCCAAAATGAATTTATGTTGAAAATCTG